GCATATATATATATGTATATATGTATATATATATATATATATAAGTTTCGCATGTGGTATCGCACGTAATACAATGTATATATAGTTATGTAGTGAATGCGCAATTAATCTTGAAGATGCATCTTCGCGTGTGCATGTGTGTGTGCATTTCATACATGTGAATGTATTTCCCAATGTGTCTGTATGTATACGTCTTCGTGTACGTACGCTCCAACCTCCACACGCACGAGAACAACAATCCAACCCCCCCGTCAACCCATACCAGGAGAATCATCCGCCAGCACATTCAGGTGCACCTTCAACCCCGCCAAGAGCGCGTTTGTCCAGTCTCTAACTGGGTCGGGCTTAAGACCATTCGCACTGGTGGGCTGTGTCCCGGCGAAGCCCCGCTTTGTCCCGGTATTGCTGCTGCTGCTGAGCTCGTACTTCATCGTCATCTTCAGTAGCCAGTTGGCGCGTGCGAGTGGGACCCGGTACTCTACCAGGAGGTTGATCAATTGGTTTTTCTCCTTGTAGTGCGGTACACGCTGGGCAAGCTGCATGATTAGTCAGAGGGTGCGTCGGTTATGGAGAAGTGGTGTGAGACTGGTATGACTGTAAGCTGCATGATTAGTTAGAGGGTGCGTCGGTTATGGAGAAGTGGTGTGAGACTGGTATGACTGTAAGCTGCATGATTAGTCAGTGGGTGCATCAGTTTTGGAGAAGTGGTGTGAGACTAGTATGACTGTAAGCTGCATGTTTAGTCAGTGGGTGCGTCGGTTTTGGAGAAGTGGTGTGAGGCTGGTATGGCTGTCTGTATGAGCACGTTACACGCAGCCTGCATCGCATGCTGATTCTTTGATTGGTCACAGGGCTCGCGCTGGCTGGGCAAGCTGTATGATTGGTGTGGGTCTGGTGAACTACGGGGGATAAAGTGTGATTAGAGGGGGGAGGGGGGGGGGGGGGAAGATGATTGAGCTTGCTTAATACTTATATGCGTATGGTGCCCTCGCAGGACAACCCGTCAGCCCTAACTTCGCCTTATTCAGCGCGACGGGTTTTAAAGTTTTGGTGTTTTAGGCTAAACCTTAAACCCTGAAGCTTGTGTGACTAGTGTGCGTACTAAGGTTCACTGGTGAATTCAGGACAGAAGTGTGAGCTTCGTAAGTTTGATGAGACGCGCGTGTTCACGCTCGGTGTGGCTTGATAGCTGATTCGATTATGTTGACAAATGGCGCTGTGGGCAAGTAGTGTCGTTTGTAGTGGTTTTGAAGAAGCATTTTGGCGAAGAAATCCGAGAAGCGTGATTGCAGAGCACCTGCTGCTAGGCCTACAATACACTAACCAGATAGAAATATATATATATATATATGTGTGTGTGTGTGTGTGTGTGTGTGTGTGTGTGTGTGTGTG